ATCCAGAGCAGGATGTTGTAACAAGCTGACAGCTGGATGTCTCACCAGCCTGGAAAATACCTTAGTTATCTTATCTCCATGCTTTTGGTTTTGAAGAGGGATGAGAGAGGCTAGGTAAACTTTGTGTCAATCAACTTTGTTACCAGGTTTTCAACAGACACTCCTTAAATGATTAACATGCCCACGTGCAGACTGGGACAAGAGTCTGATCAAACCCTTTGAGACAAAGGAGGCAAATGCAAACAGAAGGCAGACACACCAAGCTTTACCCCTTTCTTGGCTACCCACGGGGCATCCACAGGTCCAAGAAGGGTCAGTGCTAATGGGCAAAAGCAGTCTCTCAGTGCTTGTTCCGACAGTCACTCAGGAGGGACGTCAGCCTTTCCTTGGAGAAATTTAGGCCTTAGGAGAAGTTTAGGCCTTAGCTCTAAAGGGGGATAGTGCGCTTAACCCTTCCTGTCCCAGGTGGCTGTATAACGGGAGGGCTGGCATGGGCGAACCCCTGTTGAATCCGTGGTGCCCTAGTGGCGTATAGGTTGCAAGAGCTAGTTAGGCAAAGAAGCTGGCTTATTGCCACCATGCTCCTCTGCCACAATGGTAACGGAACAAACCTCTGAAGCTGTAGTCAGGGGCTCCCAGTGGAATGCTTTTTTTTGTAAGAGTTGCCTTGGTCATGGTGTCTCCTCACAGCAACAAAACAGTGACTAAGACGCACACCCCTCCTCATTCACGTGACAGTTGGTTGTGACAGCACCCCCAACCGAGCAACTTCCTTATTCCTTTTTCAGAGTTACTGCTCTCTACAATCCTTTGATCTGACCTGTCACAGTTCACTGGACAAAAGCCTAGGCTAGCACTGTCTTCGTGAAGCCTGACATCAAACCGCCCTCGCTTCTTCACCACAGTCACCGCAGTGCTGTGGCGTGTGCTCACACGAGCTAGAGATTCCCCAGCTGTTGACATGTGCTGTCCTTTCTTGAACTGGTTTTCCACCATGACACTTTGCCCTCGTTCCTCCTTTGGTTGAAAGTCTGGTGTCGTCTCCATAAAAACTCTAGAGCTTCCTTATCCTTTCATGGAATTGAACACTTCACCCTCTCTGCTCTTATGTCATTTTGTGCTGTAAATCGTAGTTCATTGTAAGGGCAGAGACAACATCCTATTTCCACAACATACAAAACACTGTGGTATTTATCAGTGGTTTTGATAAATAACTGAGTGAAGGTTTGAACGAATGATTGAGTTCAGCATGCTTATTATTTTTAAAAATATTTTAAATTATTTGTCTATTTCTTATGTACATTGGAGTTCTACCTCTACATGTGTTTGTATGAGGATGTCAGAGCCCCTGGATCAAAGTTACAGACAGTTGTGAGCTGTCATGTGGGTGCTGGGAATTGAACCCGGGTCCTCTGGAAGAGCAGCTAGTGCTCTTAACCACTGAGCCATCTCTCCAGTCCCTCAGCATGCTCATTGAAGCCTGTATGCACAGAACACCCCCTTCATTGGCCTCTCTCTCTTTCTCTCTGGTTTTCCAAGACAGTGTTTCTCTGTGTAGCCCTGGCTGTCCTGGAACTCACTCTGTAGACCAGGCTGGCCTCAAACTTAGAGCTCTGCCTGCCTGTGCATCTAAGTGCTGGGATTAAAGGTAGGCGCCACCACCGCCTGGCTGTAGCCTGGGATTTTACCACCACTGTTCAGTACTCAGTGTCTTGGTCCTATGCTGGGTCAGGTGGCTAGCCTCTGACTGGCCTTGGCTCCAGTGTCCTCCTCACCTTTTGCCCTGGTTTTCTTGTGTGGGTCCTGGCTGTCTTTCCTAAGTCTCAGGACTTGATTGACCGCCTGGTCTGCACCCCCTCCCTCTAGCCCCAGGGCACCTCTCTTGCTGGGCAGCTCTGCTGATTCCCAGTCTGGTGACTGGTTCTTGCTTCCTGTTGTGAGATTTCCTTGGTGCCAACTTCCAAGTGCGTCATGTTTGTGGATGTCTTGGGCATTTACCTTCAGCCTTCCTGTTTACTCTCATCACTCTCGTCCCTCCTTCCCAACTACCGTCTGTTTTTTTGGATGTCTTTTGTGTATTTTCATTTGCCACACCCTCGTGTTACACACTACATATGATTGTTATCCCATGTGCACTGGGCCTTTTAGTTCTGCTTCAGAATGCTCTGTCTGTATCCAGGTAAATAAGTCAGAGCTCAGAGTGGCTCTTACTCCCCTCACCCCTTGCAGCCCTCTCCCACCGAGTTCAGCTCCGACACCCTAATTCTGCTGTACACCGTCATGGGTGGCAAACTTTTCGTCAGCTCTAAGCTGTCATTCAAATCCTGACATCTGTTGTCTCTCACTTGAGTTGGGCATTTGCGCTCAGGATCAAAACGGGGCCTCACACACCTTAATTACATCTTTGTTTTCTCCTTCCTCTTTTTAAAAACATTTTTTAGATTTTTTAAAAAAATTGATGTGTATGCGTGTTTTGCCTTCATGTGTGTCTGTGACCACATGTACAGGTGCTTGAGGGGGTGTTGAACCTCCATGTGGGTGCTGGGACACGAACCTGGGTTCTTTGCTACAACAAGTGCTTTTAACCACTAAGCCAACTCTCCAGTCACCTTCCTCTTCTTCTTATACACAGGATGGCCCACGCTTGCTCTGCCCATGCCTAGCTCCTCAATTGCATAGTTTAAAAAAAAAAAAATCTCTTGAATCCTCTCCTGCTGTCTTTCAAGCATTTTTTTCCCCGAGTAGAATTTTTTTTTAAGCATCACAATCCTGCCTTCACTCAGGAGTAAAACCCTAGAAAAATGACAGGTGCGTGACCCACGAGGCCATGTGTCTCTTGGCCCGAGCTTCCTCTCCAGCTTGCCTCATCTTTCTGACCGGTGTTCACTTTCTTCCAATGGACCCACTGAGGTTCCTCAAATGCCTCCCTTGCTGGCACCTCTGTTGTTACCTGCCTAGCATGGTTTCTTGGTCACGCCTGCCCGATGCCTGCTGCCTCAAGGATCTTCTGTTGCCATCCTAGATGCGTTCTCACATGGCCCCTTTATAGCACTCATCATAGCTTTTAATTAGAGAGCCATGTGATCATCCAGCAGTAATTTCCCATTCTTGGTTCTAGTGAGGACCAGAAGACAGGAGTCAGGTCCATGTGCCAAAGGTTTTACTGAGTCCCGTGATTAAGGTGTAGTCACCCTTCCTTGCATGTTATTAGATGAAGTGAGTAGCTCCCATGTGGCCCCGCTTGTCCTGTCCCTCAGAGGTTAACTGGGGCTGTGCTCAGGCATGCCCCGGTGTGTGATGCTCCATCACCAGCCTCCCTGAGACCAAACATGGCTATGCCTTACAAAGGAAGATTCGTGAAATGAGTACAAAACAAGGCAACTGAGCTTTTTTTTTTTTTCATGATTCTGTATGTACGTGTGTGTACGGTGTGCCTATATGTATATATAGGCATACATGTATGTGGGAGTACGGGCACGTGGGCACACATGCATGTGGAGGCTCAACATCAATGTCAGGAGATCATCCTCTGTCCCTTTCTCACTTTTTTTTTTTTTTTTTTTTGATGATTAGTCTTGCAGACACAGAGGTTGCCAGTGTCATGACTAGTCTTGCTACCTAGCTTGCTCGAGGGATCTGTCTCAACCTCCCGAGCCCCTAAGTGTAGGGGGTTTGACCTCTGGTCCTTAGCCTTGTGCAGTGTTTGTTTTATTGTTTCTGTTTGTTTGCTAGCCTGGAACTTGCTCGGTAGACCAGGTTAGCCTCAAATGCTTTGAGGTCAACCTGCCTCTGCCTCCTGAGTGCTGGGTTCAAAGGTGTACATCACTACACCTGGCCCCAATTAAGAAAAATGTGTATGGGTATTTTGCCAGTTTGCACGTGTGTGACTGGAACCCTTTGAAGCCAAAAGAGGCTGTCAGATCCCCTAGAAGAGTTACAGATGGTTGTGAGCCTCCATGCAGATGCTTAGAATTGAACCTGGGTCCTCTGGAAGAGCAGCCACTGCGCATAACTGCTGAGATATCCGTCCAGCCAGGAAGTGTTTTAATCCCCACCCTACAACTGAAATTCTTAGTCCTTGATAATTGAATGTTTGTTTTGTTTGTTTGTCTGTTTTTGGTTTTTCAAGACACAGTTTCTCTGTGTAGACTTGGCTGTCCTGGACTTGCTTTATGGACCAGGCTGGCCTTGAACTCACAGAGATCTGCCTGCCTCTGCCTCCCTGAGTGCTGGGATTCCCTGTTTCCTTGATCACTGAAAGTATTTGGGTATATTTGGTGCTTAGGGTTTTCTTGGGGTTAGCGAGATGGCTCAGCAGTTAAGAGCATTGGCTGCTCTTCCAGAGGACCTAGGTTCAATTCCCAGCACTCCCATAGCAACTCAAAACTGTCCATAAGTCCCACTCCAGGGCATCTAAAGCTGCCACACAGATACGCACACAGGCAAAGTAGCAATGCACATAAAATAAAAATAAACAAACCATATTTTTTCTTATTATGCATATGAGTCTTCTGTTTGCATATATATATATATATGTATATATATATATATATATATATACATATATATATATATATATATATGTCTTTGCACCACAAAGTGTGCCTGGTTCCACAGAAGCCAGAAAGGGTATTAGATGGAACGGGAGTTACAGATGGTTGTGAGCTGCCTTATGACCTGAGCCCAGGGTCCTCCTCCAGCTAGTGCTCCTAGCCGCAGAGTCATTTCTCCAGCCCCAGGCTTGTGTGTGTGTGTGTGTTGCTAGGAATTACACTCATCTTCCTATCCCTTTTGGGCTATTTTAAAAGTGATTAATTTTTAAAGTAAGTTTGTATTGTGTTTACACTTAATTATTAAGAATAACTCAGACCTTTTTGTTATGGATAAGTCACATATTTGTAAGATATACATATACAGTATGTAACATTATGCATATATATGGCATATAATATATAATACACATATATAACACAATCCTTATGCTTTCTTTTATTTCACAGTAGTAATAATCCATATTCCTCATTTGGAGCCACTCTGGAGAGGGAGGATGAAAAGAATTTATGGAGCATGCCTCATGATGTGTCCCACACAGAGGCGGATGATGACAGGATCTTGTACAATCTGATCGTCATTCGTAACCAGCAGACCAAAGACTCAGAGGTAAGCGCTTCTGACATGGTACTGTGTGCCACTGGTATGAGGCAATAAGAGTGGCTGTTACAGGGTTGGGGTGGGGGTTGGCTGTGAGGATGGTGTCTGTTGTGCAAGCATGAGGCCCCAAGTTTGATACCCTAGAACTGGGCATGGCAGCACGTGCCTGTAATCTCAGTGCACAGGAGAGTCCCTGGCTCAGCCAGTCCAGCTGAATTAGTGAGCTCGGGGTTCTTTGAGAGAAGTCCTGTCTCAAAAGGTAAGAAGAAGGCTGGAGAGATGGCTCAGGAAAGTGCTTCCTATGCAAGCCCAGTGACCTGAGTTGGGGCCCGCAGAAGCCATAAAGAAGTCAGCTTCATTAGCACATGAGTCTGTAATCCTACTGTGCCCCTCCTGGGAGAGAGCAGACGGAGACAGGAGAATTGCCAGAAACCGACAAGCCGGCTCGCCTGGACAGTAAGAAAGACCTTGTTTTAAACAAGGTAGAAACAGGGACTGATGGCTGGAGCTTGTCCTCTGATTTACACACACACACACACACACACACACACACACACACACATACACACTAAAAAGAAATGGTAATTGCAAGAAGACCAACTGGAAGTAAAGAATGAAACACGACTACAGGGTCAGCCGGTGTGGTCCAGGATGATCTTGAACCCTTGAGCTTAAGAAATCATTCTGCCTCATCCTGCTTGGTAGTAGGGACTCACTCTACATCTGAGTTCTGTGAAATGAAAGACATAGTTTTAGCAGCATGCATTCGTACTGGTTAATTATGGTTAGTCCTGGTAGACTTGCTAGATAACATGATAAGACCCATTCTTAATTTTTACCTTAACAGTACACATTACATGTAAGGCAGTGCTGTTGAAAAGCAGTGAGGGGGATGACTTGGGATCTTAAATCATCCATCTCTTTCCTTTCTAGTTCTGAGTTGTTGGGTCCTGAATCAGTGGTGTGTGTGTGTGTGTGTGTGTATGTGTGTGTGTATGAGAGAGAGAGAGAGAGAGCGCAAACTTCCATGTTTAAAGGTTCTTAAACTGTGTGTGTCAATCAGACAGCGCAGTTTTTACAGTAAAGCTTTAATACTCCTAAAGACTAAAGAGTAGCACAGGGACAGTAGAATGTGAAAAGGAGAAGAATCTGTAAGGGTAGCAAAGAAGATCATGGTTCCTCCATTCTTTCTCTATCAGAGTATTATCTAGGATAGTTTTTAGGTCGTGCCGCTGAGGCTGTCCCCCTCCTGAGTTGCTGGCTTGCTGAGTAGACACCCATAGCAGACACACACTGACCGTATGGTTCTGCGCTTTATGGTTGTCGAGAGTAAGGGGAGTTAGAAGCTCTGAAAAAGTACCACTGGGGTGTGTTAGCAACAACTATCTATCTATTTATCTATTTTGATTTGGTTTTTTTGAGACAGGGCCTCACAGTGTAGCCAGACTGACTAGGAATTTGCTCTGTAGGCCAGGCCAGCCTGGGACTTACAGAGCTCCACCTGCGTTTGCCCTGCCCGGCTTTTAGGGGTAACTTTAGAAGTGAATGTGTTTTGGTGCTTCGTTTTTGGCGTGATTCGGTTGCCTTTGGTTAAAGTTGGGATGAGGAAAGGTGGTGTTTTCCGGATCCCTGACGGAGAAGCAAATGGTGCAGCTCATGAGGGCAGTGGTTCTCAACCTATGGGTCGAGACCCCTCTGGGGGCTGAACGACCCTTTTACAGGGGTCGCCGAAGACCGTTGGAAAACACCTATATTTGCATTATGATTCAAAAGTGCAGTTACGAAGTAGCAACAAGAATGATCTTACTTTTGGGGGGTCACCATGGCATGAGGAACTGTGTTAATGGGCTGCCCCATTAGGAAGGTTGGGAGCCACTGAGCCCTGCAGCAGTCCTGGGAGGAGCTCTTGTCTCCCTGTCTTCCTCTGTCCGCTTTTGAAATGACAGTTGAGGAGGCAACAGGAACCACAGAACAGTCTCTCCCCAGGTGCAGCTTCCGAAGGGAGCCAGGTGTGGAAGGGCCACCTAGAGCGATTTGTTTTTTTTTTTTTTATTTTTTTATTTTTTTATTTTTTTATTTTTTTTATTCTTGCTCAAGAACGATATCAAGCTTCACTCTCAGACGGTTATCCAAGATAGATAACCATATAAATAACGTGAAGATTTCACAGTTACTACACATGACATGATTTGAAGTATCTGCTCACAGGGCTTCCCTTTCTTAAAAAAAACAAAACAAAACAAAACATAAAGTAATACGATTAATAAAAAATGCTTGCATTTTCTTTCAAAAATTGAAGTGAAATTAGATAAATTATTCATTTCTCACAGATTGGCCTATAGATCACACAGTCTTCTGCACCTTGCTTTTGGTCCTGCTTATGTTTTCCGGATACATTCCCGTTTCTGTATGCTTACATTCTCGTTACTGCTTTTGGAGACTTTCTGGTATTCTGTTGCATGGATTTACCACTGTTTATTCAGTCAGTCCTTATCGCTGTTGAGGGTAATTCCTTCTTTCCTATTAGAAGCTGTGCTGCAGTTGACATCTAGATAGATTGTAGGACCTTCCTTTTTTTTTTTTTTTTTTTTTTTTAAGGAGTTGCATGCCTGGATCACAATGTATGCATTTAAAATGGAATCTAGGGGGCTGGAGAGATGGCTCAGTGGTTAACAGTCCTGGCTGCTCTTCTAGAGGACTTGGAGTTCTTTTCCCAGCACCCACATGGTGGCTCACAACAGTTTGAAACTCCAGTTCCAGGGGATCTGAAGTCCTCTTCTGGCCTCCATGGGCGTCAGGCACCTGCATGGTGCATGTATGTACATGCAGGCAAAACACTCGTGCACAAAATAAAATAAAATAAAATTTAAATGGAAACTAGGAAGAATACTTGAGGGACCAGAATGGAGGTTGCAATCTGAGATATCCCCAGGGAGTAAGTTGTAACATCAATGAATGATGCGGTTCTCCTCCCCCACCCAGCATCTGGAATGGTATTAGGAACTCATGCTACTTTTATGGGCACAATTGCTGAGCTGTAGGCTTTCTGTCCTGCTCAGAATGTAGGCCCTAAAATGTTGGAACTTTTGCCTTTGAGAGTAAAACTGAAAGAAATTTACATATAAAATAGTGAGACTTGTGTGTGTGTGGGAGGGGGAGTTATTTATTTAATTTTTTGAGACAGGGTTTCTCTGTGTAGTCTTGGCTGTCCTGGACTCACTTGTAGACTAGGCTGGCCTCGAACTCACAGAGATCCGCCTGCCTCTGCCTCCCAGAGTGTTGGGATTACAGGCGTGCACCACCACACCTGGCAAAGTAGCCAGATTTGAAAAGAACTCGCATTAGAAAGTTTGCCAGCTAAACAAAATGTTAGCAGATTGCTGGCACATGAGGACACGGAGAATGGAGCCACCACTACTTACCAGCGTCACTTTGTGCGGGGTGATTGTGCAGTGGACTTACCGCTGTTTTTGTGAAGATGAAGTTAGAAAGCCAGTAAGATGGCACTTTAAGTCTGAAAAATTACATACTTCTTATTATGCGATTTCCTTGCTCAGAGGGGATAACTTTGGTGCAGGTTTTAATAAAACAGAGGATTTGGGTTTTGAAAGAAAAATCCCCCCTGATAAAGGAATGCTGGGTAATTTTTGAATGTATCGTGTGGAGGCTCAAAGAGTATATCAAGGGACCTGAACAGTGTTTCTCCTTGAGTAACACCAGCACCAAAGGCTTGACAACATTCAAGTTTAGGGTTCTCTGAGTAATGAAGAATAGTTTCAGAACGGTGTGTGCTAGCCACAGCCTCTGCATTAAATCTGGGGCTACCGGGGGAGACTACATACCGTGACGGCCGACTCCCGATGGAAAAGCATGCAGAAGAGAAGATACAAGGGAAAGAAAAACCTCCAGATTTAACCTGTGGTGTCAAAAAAAAAAAAAAAAAAAAAAGGTGAAGAGTAACATTGTTTGACTCTCACAGACAGAATTCTCTTGCTTTCATGCAAACCTTCAAGCACCGGTGGAAACCATTCGTCCAGCAGGAGAAACGACAGCGTAACAGCCCTGCAAGTAGTGAAAGGCGATTCTTTGAATGGTGCTGTGAAGTGCTTCCTGTTTGGCTAAGAAATAGCCAACAGTCTCATACTCAAGTCAATAAATCCTTATCTGCATGTTCTTGCTCATTAAACTGCTTCTGTTTTATATAATACTGCGTCCTAAGGAGCTTAATAATTGTTAGTGATCTATCCATTTGTAAAAATGATAGTAAGTATAGTGATTTTGTCCAAAATAATAATGATGATGATGATGATGATGACGACGACAACAGTGTTTAGCACCAGTCTTCTCAATTTTTGTGTATTAGGATGCCCTTGTAACAACTCGATAAATAAGTACTGCTATTGCTTCCATTCTAAGCAACTTAAGAAAGGCCACAAAGCTGTTAAGTTTAAAGCCAGGATTTGAGTCGAGGCTCTATGGGTCCCAAGACATGATATGTGATGTGGAAGGAACAGACACTGCCAGTGGCTGAATTCAGACTTAGATCAGTGGTCGGAGAGTATCAGCAAGGCATGCCCCAGCCTGTGCATGATTTGTTGAAGCTGGTAAGTATGAAAGACGGGGCGGGAGGCCAGCTACTCCATTTCAGGAAGTGTTCCTCAGCTTATGATTTTCCATGGTGACTGCTCACCTTTTGCCAGGTTCTGCCAACAGCTCTCTGAGGACTTGGTGCTGGGAGTCAGTCTAGGAGCCTGAACTTGCTAGGCAGGTGTTCTGTCACTGTGCTATGTCCCCAGCTCAGATTTGACACTTTTGATAAAGAAAATGCACGTTAAACGTCAGACCGTTCTTACCAACACTGTTAAGTACTTTTTACTGCATAAGGGATGACAGAAATTCTGTGCTCACTTTCAGAGCTTATAAGTAATCACGTGATCAAAAATGTATGCAGTTGTCATGACAGGAACCTGCCGACATGTCACTCAGGCAATATTTACACATCTGCAGGT